TGCTCGGCCCATCGCTGTAGGATTTGCGTCTTCTCAGTCAGGAGAGTGCTGCCGTCGGCGCTGAGGAGAGGAGCAGTGCCCTTCGTCGGCGGACCGTAGACAGCTTTGATCGCGGAGAAGAAGTTCTTCCATTCGTTGCGGTCCGCGTAGCCTTGGATCTCCTCAGCTTTGCGAGCAGTCCAGGCGTCCTGCATCTCGCGCAGTCGTTGCTGAAGCTGTCGGCGACTGCGGTAGAAGGCAGCTTTGTTGTCCTCAGTGGGATGATCTACGTAGGCTTTGTGGAGGCGGTTCTTCTCAGCAAGCAGATTTCTGATGGCAGCGTCGTTGTCGTCGAACCAGTCCTGGTGTTTGCGGGGAGCGCGACCAAGGACGGCGAGCGCCGTCGACTGGACCGTGTCTCGAAGTTGACACCAGCGGTTCTCCACGGAGGTGTTCTCGGCAGCGGCGGCGGCGGCATCGTCGGCGGCGGCAGCGATAGGAAAATTGTCTAGCCGTTGAGCTAGCTCATTGCTGAAATGGAGACGGTGAGCAGGCAAAGACAACAAAGCAACATTCAGCTTACCTGGGGGTCGCTTACCTTGTGGTCTCCTGCGAGGCTGTAGGCGAATACGCATCTTCGAGATGACGAGGCGATGGTCGGTCCACCCGTCAGCACCCGCGATCGCCTTCGTCACCAGCACGTCCCGCTGATCTCGCCTCCGGACGAGGACATAGTCCAGCAGGTGCCACTGACGCGACCGAGGATGCCTCCAGGTGGCCTTCTCTCGCTCCGGCAGACAGAAGAACGTGTTCGCCAGGATGAGGCGGTGTTCTGCGCAGGTGCGGAGGAGAAGCAGGCCGTTGTCGTTGGAGCCGCGGAGACCGTGAGGACCCAGCACTCCCCTCCAGGCAGTATGGTCTGTGCCGACGCGGGCGTTGAAGTCTCCAAGGACAATCAACTTGTCCGCCTTCGACACAGTCGCCAAGAGTGCGTGCAGGTCCTCGTAGAATTTGTCTTTGACGGCGTCGGGGCTGGTCATCGGCGGAGCGTAGGCGCTGATGATGGTGGCGAACTTGCCTCCTCGCCGGAGGGGCAGACGGAGGCTCATTAGGCTGTCGTTGATTCCCTGCGGCAGACAGGGCAGTCGTCCCACGATGTCGGTCCGGATGGCAAAGGCGACACCCGCGTCTCGTCGCTCTGCCCTGGGTCGACCACTCCAGAAGAAGGTGTAGCCGGCACCCAACTCCTCCAGTTGGCCTTGGTCGGAGAATCGGGTCTCGCTGAGTGCGGCGATGTCCACCTTGTAGCGCGCCAGTTCCCGGGCCACTAGCGCCGTCCTCCGTTCCGGTCGGTTGCTCCTCGGATTGTCTAAAAGGGAACGAACATTCCAGGCTGCCAGAGTGAGCGGGCTCACCCTGTCAGTCTGGGGAAAACGAGTGGGGCGACGGGAAGGAGGTGGAGAAGAAGATGACGAAGGAGGAGAATAGGCAGAAGAATAGACGGAGATAGAGGTAGAAGAGGTAGGATGAGGAGAAGGGGTATGGTTGTTGTAATTGGTATTGTTGTTGTTTCGATTTTGATTGTTTCGACCGTGTTGATGGCATCTGCGGCCTTGGCTGGCCTGCAGACGGCGTGGTGCCCAGCATTTTTTAGACCACCTTTTCTAGGCCCTTCCCCTCGCGGGGGCAGGCAGTGCCGTCCCTGAATCGGGCTGCCCATGTGCCTGGTTGGCGCGACCGAATCCCACTATGGGGCCACGACATTTATGTTCGTAGTGGAGAACGACCGCATGTGCCGTGAGTCCGCGGTCTCCGTCGTCGGGGGTGGGCGCGTCTCAGCGAAGGCGATGCAGAGACCAGTCCCGGCAGCAGTTATCCAACGGCGTACCTGGCAGCCTCGTCTCGACGATGCCGGCGCAGTGTTTCATCCGACCATCCATCCGGCGGAGTCCGCGGTACGCTGTGCACTCGGCACAAGTGCACAGCGCCCTCACCTGGTTTAGCCCGCCTGTCGAGACGGTTGCCCGGGGTGTGGCCGCTGAGCAGAGCCCAGTTACGTGGAGCCACAGGTGAGAGTTGGGTGCCAGCAAATGGACGCTAGGTGTAGTCTCACCTGCAAGCAAGTGAGCGACCACTACGACCATCACGTGAACCCACCGCTGGTCACCCCTACACCCCACACACACACACACACA